TACAACCAGTGCGTGTTGCCAGTGATGACTTACGGATCAGAGACGTGGTCCTTCACTGCTGGCCGTATGAGGACGCTCAAGGTCGCTCAGCGAGCTATGGAAAGGGCTATGCTCGGAGTTTCTCTGCGTGATAGACTCAGAAATGAGGATATCCACAGTAAAACCAGAGTGACCGACATAGCCCAACGGATTAGTAAGCTGAAGTGGCAATGGGCCGGCCATATAGCTCGAAGAACCGATAACCGATGGGGAAGAAAGGTTCTCGAGTGGCAGCCACGTGCCGGTTGGCGTAGTGTAGGGCGACCCCCCACTAGATGGAGTGACGACCTGGTAAGACATGCAGGAAGTCGATGGATGCAGGTGGCTCAGGACCGTGCTTTGTGGCATTACTTGGGGGAGGCCTATGTTCAGCAGTGGACTTCCGAAGGGCTGTAAGATATATGATGATGATGATGATGATATTATATGGGTGCCTGACATCGACGCCGCCGATGGTTCATTTTTTAGGTACAAATATTCGTACGGGAAATGAAATTTTATTAATAGATGTATTAAGCTCGCTAAATTTGAGACAATTTAATGGTATAAAAAATGCCCATGGCAGGATCCTTGACCTTGTTTTTTTCTAGCGACGCTATTACCGTTCGTGATTTAAGTGGGGATTCTCTTATTCCTGTTGATCCTTATCATGTCGCCCTTTTAATATCTTTTGATTACGTTGATTGGGATTAATTAAATAGCAATGCTCGCCTTAAGTTCTTATATCATAAAGGTGACTATTATTCATTAAATGGTGAGATTGCCAATATCCAATGGGGTGAAGTTATGTCTCCGTTATCCTTAGATGAATCTGTTCAATATTTTTATAGCACACTCACGTCACTTAGAGATAAATATATTCCCTCAAAATTAATTGTTGCCGACACTTATGCTAAATGGTATACAGCACCACTTAAAATGCTATTAAAAAAACATTTATTTTTACGTAAATTTAGGATCTATGGCTGTAGGCACGAAAATGAAACTTTTAAGCTATTGCGGGAGCGTGTAAGGAAATTAGTAAAGTTAGCATACCAATCTTACATGACCTCTGTGGAAATTCATTTAGTGCAAATCCGAAACACTTCTGGTCGTATATTAAACAAAAATCAAAATCACATTCAATACCTTGATGTCTCAAATTTGAAAGTTCTTTAATGAACTCTTGTGAACTTTTCTGTAATGCTTTTTCAAATTATTTGGTTTCGGGTGTTAGTAATACTCAGCTGTCTGAAAATAATTATAATGATTCTCTAGTGTTGCCTCAGTCGAGTGTTGATATCACCTCAATTGATATAAACGAAAATACGGTCCAAAACCTGCTTAAAACATTGGATCCAACGAAATCTGCTGTACCCAATTACATTCCAGCTCACTTTCTTATTAACTGTGCGCATACAATTTGTGTTCCTTTGACTATTTTGTTTAAAAAGTCTCTTAGTACAGGTATTGTTCCTACCATCTGGAAGCGTGCATTTATCACGCCTGTCCATAAAAAGGGTTCCAAGACCGAAGTTACTAATTATCGACCGATTTCTAAGTTGTGTATTGTATCTAAAGTGTTTGAACGAATTATATATAATCAATTATACGCGGCCCTAAAACATTCATCAATCCGACTCAACATGGTTTTTTAAGAGGACGCTCTACTGTTTCAAATCTTGCGCTCTTTAATGCATTTTTGACTGAGGCAATAGACAATCGCCACCACCGATTATAGTAAAGCCTTTGACAGAATACATCATAATTTGCTATTGCTGAAACTGTCCAAGATCGGTATAAATGGTGATCTGGCTTACGTCTTATATAAATAATCGATCACAAGCTGTTGTCGTCAGCAACTACATATCAGGATGGGTAACTGTTCCAAGTGGGGTGCCACAGGGCTCACTGCTAGATCCGTTATTATTTGTTATTTTTATCAATGACATTACCTGTTACCTGAAGAAAGCTCGCTTATTATGTTTTGCCGATGATATGAAGCTATTTATGAAAATAACATCAATCGAGGATGCTGAGGCTCTACAATAAGATCTGTCAAATCTAGAGCGTTATTGCCACTTAAACTTCTTAGATTTGAACCCTTCGAAATGTAGCTTTATGTCCTATAGTCGCAAATATAAACAGATTGTCTTTAACTATAAAATGAAAGGTGAAAATCTAAAAAGGGATTCCATTGTTAGAGATCTCGGTGTTCTTCATGATTCCAAATTTGATATTTGACATTCACTTAGGAAGCATTATAACCAAATCTACGATGGCTCTTGGATTTTTGATGCGTAGCTCTAGGGACTTCACTAAAGTTAAAACTCTAAAGATCATATATTGTTCTCTTGTAAGAAGTAATTTAGAGTACGCATCTCAAGTCTGGAACCCCAGGTATGCAACATATATTACCCGACTTGAAAATATCCAAAGTAAGTTTATGCGTTACCTCTCATATAGAACCAATGACCATCGCTATACCTCTGATAATTATATTAGTTATTGTAAAAAACATCACCTTCTTCCTCTTGCTATGAGTCGTGAGATTACTGACCTCACTTTTCTGTTAAAAATAGCTTGTAGTGCTATTGACTGTCCTGAGCTTTTATCTTAACTACAGCTGTCCTGCCAAGCCTCTTAGACACAACAAAATTTTAAGTCTCCCGTTTGCATCTACAAATTATAGGCAAAATACATTTATATGGCGATTCGATTTGTTTAACACTAGTGCTGCGTCAGCTAGGCGCATACTTAATAATGCATTTTTGGTAGCTCTAAGTAAGATTTACTTTTATATTTTCTGTTAAAAATAGCTTGTAGTGTTATTGACTGTCCTAAGTATGAGTTGATTGCCTTTTATATGTATATACAAGTTTAGCCCTCATTTTGCATAAATGTGTTGTATTGGATACTTTCGAGTGTTAAATCGTGTTTATAACTGTTGTAAATTCACCTTTGTGTCTATTAGAGAGGATCTTTAATTGGATTACGTTGTTATTAGTACCATCTATCCTAATTATGATAGCTGTTGGTCTTCCAAATAAAATAAAATATAATAAATAACATAAAATAAAATACCAGATCCAAGATGCATCCATATTTATTACAAACATTATTACATTGCTGTAAGTTGCAACATTTTAAGAAATTATGGAACTGAGTTTGAACTGATTTATTACGAGACCTTAAATTGAAATCACCAACAATCAAGAATTTACAGTCAGAATATGTGTTATTGGCATTTTCTATACAATTTGATGCATAAAGGTATTGCTTGTCATTGTAGTTTGGTAGTAAATATGCAACACACACTAAGAGTTATATTGTTCAACGTTAAAAGAGTAAATAACAATTCTTTATTATCAGTTAAACCATCTATGTTTGTAATTCTTTTACCGGTAAAACTATTCTTTACTGCTAAGAGAACACCACCCCATCCGTCGTTACCTGCACGATCCTTCCTTAGCACAATATACTCGGGAGGGAACAGTTCAGAGTCATATACAGAATCATTGAGAAAAGTTTCAGTAAGGATGATAAGATCACTTGATATTAAAGATATATTATAATAAAATAACGGTTTATGTGCGTGAATCTCTTGAATTTTGAGGGTACAATAGTATTTTTTTAGACGTACTTTATTCTTTTTTTTTGCGGGCTGTTATATACGAGAAAAAACTTAGAGTTTGAGTAACCATAGCAGTTATAGTCAATATTTATATTATCTAGTATATTTTTGTAAATATGTTGTATTCTCTTTTTATTGATTTTTTCCCCAGTTTTAAATGAGTACATGTCAAATGAAGTTAAGAGATTGGAATCATAAAAGTATGTCCCTTTACAACCGGAGATTTTTTTTTTCAGATTCTAACCATAAAACTTTTATGTTGGCTTCCTACTAGGTATATAGAGCTCAAAAAAATCAGTTAAAAAATCTCGAGTTCATAGCTTACCCACAAATCCACTATGTCGTGTATGACCTGCGACTCACGATCGTGAGGGTAATTTAAACTAGCCCTATGTTCTGGTACTTTAAAGACTATTGAATAAAACTAAATTTACGGATTTTATCGCGTTTATTTCACTACTTTTACTTATTTTTAATTCCCGACGTTTCGGGTGCTTTACAACAACCATGGTCACGGGGGGGATTGAGATGTTTGACGTCCCAATGTCATAGTTAGTCCGGCTCCCTTCAGTTTTTGAATATTAATTTTTGGTCCGATTTACGCAAAACGAGCTTATAGTATCATGAAGTCTTGCAGTGGTATGCTTAGGTTTGGGTTTAATTTTGTTAATTATAGGATCTCAAGCAGGTGGCAGCACCCATCCATCTTCTCTATTGAAATTTGGATGTTTTTTAATTTCAATAGCCTCGCGTATCATCCTTGGTAGGAATCGGTGTTCTTTTGCGAGAATTTGTGTTTTATCAAAACGAATGTAATGGTGGGGGCAGTCTGCGAACATGTTCAAGATCGTCCCCACCATTACATTCGTTTTGATAAACCACAAATTCTCGCAAAAGAACACCGATTCCTACCAAGGATGATACGCGAGGCTATTGAAATTAAAAAAACATCCAAATTTCAATAGAGAAGATGGATGGGTGCTGCCACCTGCTTGGGATCCTATAATTAACAAAATTAAACCCAAACCTAAGCATACCACTGCAAGACTTCATGATGACATTGGGACGTCAAACATCTCAGTCCCCCCCCCCCCGTGACCATGGTTGCTGTAAAGCACCCGAAACGTCGGGAATTAAAAATAAGTAAAAGTAGTGAAATAAACGCGATAAAATCCGTAAATTTAGTTTTATTCAATGTGTAGTGTTCGCGTAAATTTAAGAAATCATTACTTTAAAGACTAATTAAAAAAAGTTTATACTTAATAAGCCTCTTTATTAATTATTTAGTTATTTAAATCAATTTTAATCAATTTTATTTTATAATAATAATTTTTTTTAGAACTAAACATTAATTCGTGCCTTTGGCAACATGATACAAAATTTTCTGTAAAATATATACAAAACAAAACAAACTTAAAGTTGTACGCAAATCAGGAACTATCAGATCATCTTCTGGTATAGTCAATACAAATAAGACTTGAAACAGTCTTTGCCACGTGCGATACACAAATACGTGTCGCATTTTGTGTAGCGTACCTTTGTACGACTGGTACAATTTTCGTACCTGCACATTCTAGGTGCTTTTATTTCGTCGAACACTGGAAAGTATTCGTATCCATCATACCGCTTTGATTCAGATGGCTTGTTTGCTGGTCTGTACTGTCTTTTCGGAAGAGGTGATTCATTTTCATCCAGCGGCGGTTCATTTTCAATATTGCTCGTCGATGTCCGTTTTCTTGCCGGCAAACTTGACAATCCATCAGCAATGTTCATGCGGAAGTCTAACAAGGGCAAAATTTCCCTCCTGCTTAATTTATTTGCCAGGCAATCATTACGATACAGTCGCCAAGAATTGACAATTGCCAAGTCAAGAAAGTGTATCAGTACTTTCAGTGTCCATTTCTTTCTTTTGATGAATGTCCGATAATACTCCATCTGCTGGTCCAGAACATCAACACCCCCCATGTGTTGGTTGTAATGCTCGACTACTTTTGGGACAGGTCTACGTACATCTTCAAGTGTTTTTCCCATCTCTTGATGATTGAAGATGAGGACGAGCCGGTGCAGTTGACGCCATTAAAACGGACTTATTGTCTCTCCATTTGATGACGACAGTCGGTTCGCAAACGTACTGCTGTGATTCTCCGCGAGCCATTCTAGCATCTGGTTTAAATTTAATGCAGTACGGTCAAGGATCCTGTTGAACATGATTGTTTCCGTACTGTGAAGATTCCTCTTTGTCATCTCTTCAATTAGCGGAACAGTGGTAAAATATCTGTCATGGTAGACACAGCTTCCAGGCGGTACACTTTTCACCATATGCAGAACTACAGAAGCTCCAAGTCCAAGAGATGTATCTGCAAACATGGTTTTAGCTCCTCGATATATGTCAAAGTCTAGCATCAAGCCTTCACTTGTGGTCAGCACAAAGTTCTTCAAACCCACCGGGCGCGGCTTATTTCGGACTAGCTGGCGAAGTACACATCTGCCAGTAAATGGTACCATTTGCTCGTCAATGGAGTAGAAGCCAGGAACTCTTTCAAGTTTGTTACAGGCTAATTTTAACCGGTCAATCATCGGCTGTACTTTCCACAGTGGATTGTTACTATTACTCGGTGGAGCTTCAACAGTATCTACGACGTGCAATGCATTGCGGACGGTCAAGAACCTGTCATGAGCCATTTGTTGATTTATTATATCCAGTTTTATTCCACCTCTCCAATACATCGGGACACAGGGGTAGGGAATACATCCAATGATGATGTGTATTGAAAAAACTCTGGCTACTTCAACTGTTGTAAGTTTCAGTTCCAGGCCCGTTTTTCTGTGATGGTACATGTTTGTGCATCTGGCAATTTCATCAAAAAACTCTCTGTTGAAATAGTCGGAGAAATACTCCATTTTAGTCCTGACAGGAGTAACGGGCAAGGGAGCATAGTCGTGACTACAATCGTCGAAAGGTACCTGCTTCCAAACTTTCTTTCGAGAAGGTGGCCGTAAAGATTGAGGGCGTGGAGTTAGTTGTGATGGTCCAGGATTACCTTGCATCGGCTTCGGCTCCGGTGCTACAGACGGCTGTGGTTCAGGCTCTGGATCATCCAACTGAAGATTTTCGAAAGTGCTGGGTTGGATTTCGTCGTCGTCGTCCTCAAAATCTTCGATGTCGGAGAAGTTTCCATCGCCCAGCAATTGTATAACTTGATCTTCGTTCAAACTTCTGCCTAAAATGTTAAAAAAGTAACTATTAATTACAAAATCTATGTAAAAACAATCATCAAGTACAGTACCCACTCTCGAATAATGTTTCGGTAGTACAACCGGAGCCGCACGATAGTAGCGGTCGAACTTTATAACGTAATTCTAACGAAACCGTAAAGGTCAGCACAAAATAAAAATAATCGAGGTATTGAGATATCTTTTAACTTTAAAATAATTATAAATCACAATCAAATACTTTAAAATTACTATTAAAAATAATTACTTACCCGCGGCGCGGCGAGGATCGAAAAACGCAGCCATCTTTCATCTCAGCTCACAGGTGACTGACTGCTCCCATCCCACCCGTGTCTATTTTCCACGCGTAAAATACACCTCGTGAACGATCGACGCCGGTTGGTTCGGAAAAAGTAAACCGTTTGGTGCCAGTATTTTTTTTAATTTAAACTCACGCTCGTATCAGCCCGAGTGTAAAGGGATAATGATTGTTTTATAATTCCAAATACATTAATTATTAAATAATTCTATTTTATAATTATACTAGCTTGCTAGGCAGACGTTGTTCTGCCCTTTTCAACGACCCTTTGTCACGTCCCATTAAAAATCCTTAAATTCGCAAAAAAATTGTAGGTCACACATGGGCATAAAAACTGTCCTATCTCTCAAGTTAGACCTAATTGCAAATTTGACTAAAATCGGTTAAGTAGTTTAGGAGTCCATCGCGGATAAACAACGTGACACGTAATTTATATATATTAAGATATTGGTGATCCACATACATATGTAGGAGCACATAGAATTATATTAGTATGAGAAATATGGTGTTATGCTTCCCTTATGGTTTTTACTAACTCTATACAATCACATGTAGTTCTAAAATCTCTTTCACCTATCATAATAATACAATAGTCCCACATATCGTGTCCATGCAATTTTTTATCAATGTACTGAAGTAAATATTTAATATTACAATTCGGCGAGAAATAGCGGATGTAGTCAAACTGTTTATTGAACGTAGCATCAACAGCTGACAGCGTACCCCAGAATGAGCTGTTAGTCATGATACACAATTTGGGTCTCTTACTTTTATCAATTTCTGAATTTAAATTAATCGTGTGCTGAATTAGCGAGGATTCTTCGAATTCTTTAGCTTGGACTGCCTTTTGAAGGGTTATGATTTGATTACTAAGGTCCGCTATTTCATTTTTGGCTGAATTCAGTTGCAGCTCGAGATCTTTAAGATTCTGTTCGACGGTTAGGATGTTCCTGTTAGAGAATTCCTCTGCCTTGTTGTCACTGGATGCCCTGGGCGGTGTGGTTATTATATTTACATCTGAATATCGCAGGGAACTTCTAACTTTCTTTTTGGTGCTACAATTTGATTTACTTTTCTTTGGCGGTGTTTTGGATAGCAAAGCCTTTAATGTGTTATTTTCTTTAATAAGGTTGGTCACTTGTGAACGGAGGTCGTTACTGTCTAGAATAATGTTTTCAAGTTTATTTTGTGTTGTGGCAAGGTGCATTCGTAGCTGTTCTATGATGTCTCTCATGTCCTGAATAGAGACAGCTTCCGTCATGTGTCAATGCTTTTTGTTATTAAATGAATAAAGTACTTTATAACAACAGATGATTTTTCTTCTACAGCGATCTTTTACATAACTTTTTAATAATGGTTTATAAATATATATAAAAAAATCATTATAAATAAAGAAAGTACTACATATAAAATGTGCTTATATATTGAAGGTTTGTAACCCCTGGTTAAACGACCGAAAGGTCATTGTCCGCTTGTCTCAATCGATTTGGCACATACTATACTAATAATATCAGTGTATTTGTCCCGGAATGGCGATCTTTGGAGAACTAAGATACTAAAGTAAAAGATAAAGTCTAGAAATGGCTTAGTATCGTGTACACCGACCTCACTTGCTGAACAGATGAATAGAGAGAAATGCCAAGTTTATCTAGCAGTGGAAGGCGGAGGCCCGTAATTCCTGGCGCTCTTGTGAAGAGAATGTGGTATGCAGATTGTCAAAAGATGGTGAAAAATTGCCTGGGGTTTAATATCCCCTTAAAATATTTCTTCTTTAGTGGCTAATGCTATTGTTGCGCCCCTAAGTTGACGTCATGTACCCGGAACTAGCGCCATCTAGTGTCGGGGACGAGAGCGAGGGGTGCTTTCCAGAAAATGACATCACTAATCTTTCAACCGACAGCGCCATCTAGTATCGAAACGAAGAACTAAGCTTCTAGAAGCCCGACACTCGAACTTTCGACACCTAGTCGATTGGCGCACGTATTTACGTGAATATTCTGGATGTTTCGTTGATAATGTGTATTTAAAGGCGCTGCAAGATGCGATCGGGGGAAGTATTGAATTTGGCGAGACAAGCGAAGCTTCGGAGCGAAATAAAGTGAATCAGTGTAGTTAATTATTAGTGTTCTAAGTTTTAATTAGTGTAAAGTGAATTAAAGAGTTAATTTTGTAATTCAATCGGCAGTTTTTATTGTCACGAACCTCAAGCTCGTAACAATTGGTGTCAGAAGTGGGATAAAATCATGCCGATTTTACCTAAGGAGGAAACGGAGGGTGTCCGTACCCGAAGTGAACGCCAGCAGGAGACGGACCAAAGAGGATTTGGTGGTGCAACGCCGCAGACGTCGGAGGGCCAGCCGTCGGCTGCAGGCCCGTCAGTAGCTCCTACATCTGCAGCACCTGACTTAGGTGCTCTGATGGTGATGCTGCAGGAGCAGGCTCGCCGACAGGAGGAGCAGGCCCGTTGGTTGAAAGAGCAGCAGGAGGAACAGGCCCGCCGACAGGAGGAACAGGCCCGTCGGTTGGAAGAGCAGCTCAAGCGCGATAAGGAATAGCAGATGCTCCTCATGAAGGACATTCACCCTACCTTCGGGAAAGAGATAAGGGAGGTGAAGGATAAGGTTGCTCAACATGACAACCGCCTGTCGGAAGCTGAAACCCAAATCGACCAAGTGAACAATCGGGTTGACAACGTAATCGCTGACATGAATAAATAACTGGACGAACTCAAGCTTGGGGATGGAACTATAGCTCCCGTAGTAGCTACTACATCTTTGCTACGTGGGTTCAAGGTTCCGTTTGACGGGACTTCTTCCTGGTCAGCCTACAAAATCCAGTTCGAGGCTGTTATGAAGGCGAACGGCTGGAATAAAAGTCTGGCCATGGCTGCTCTCACACTAGGCCTGCGCGACCAGGCCTTAACAGTTCTGGAAGCTGTGGGTGAGGAAGTGACTTATGAGCAACTCCTTGAGGCATTGGAGGCGAGATATGGTGACGCTCACCTGGAACACGTCTTTCGTGCGCAGCTTAAAGATCGCGTGCAGCGCATCAACGAAAACCTGTAGCAGTGGGCTCTAGAGGTGGAGAAGCTGGTGCGAAAAGCATACCGGTCTGTACCTGCGCTCATTGAAGGGAACCTGGTGCAGACATTCATCGACGGCATCCGCGACCTGGAAGTCTGAGCTGCTGTGAGGCTCGGGCAACCAAGAGTCGCTTAAGGACGCCTTGGCCCATGCACTGGAGGTGGAAGCCGTGCGGCAGGATCATCGTTCCCATCGCGTCAGGGAGGTTGCATCAGCTACAGTTCGCAACCGCAACAAAGGATACAGCTCTAGGTGCTATGGCTGTGGGTAAAGGGGCCATCTTCGATCCAGCTGCCCTAAGCAAACTGTAGAAAGGGAAGTTGATCGATCTCGGGAGGGTAGTGCGACCAACAGCACCGCCCAGCAGCAGCAGGGAAACGAGTAAAAGCCAGAACTGCGGGGCGGGTGCTGGCTGATGTTAAAAGAGCCCCAAGGATCTCGATCTCACAAACCCATGATGGGAACAGTCTGATCATCAAGGGCGAGGTCAACGGAATGCCGTGTAAACTGACCATAGACACCGCAAACGAGAGTGACTACACTTTTGGAAGACTGTCGCAGCGTTCTCTCCCCGAAAGAAATGGTCAAGGCGAAGAAGTTGTTACTCAAGTATACCGATGTATTCTCATCAAACGACGCTGACATAGGAAAGACTGGCTTAGTTCAACACAAAATAAACACAGGAGAAGAATCGCCTATTCGTCAGCGGCCAAGAAGATTGCCGGTAGCACGTGAAAAGGAAGTGGAAACCATGATTGAAGGAATGGTAAAGGATGGTATTATTGAACCTTCCTCTAGTCCATGGTGTTCACCCGTGGTGCTGGTAAAGAAGAAGGATGGCAGCATGCGGTTTTGTGTTGACTACCGCCGTCTGAACGACGTTACGAAGAAGGACAGCTATCCCTTGCCAAGAATTGATGACACACTGGACATGCTTACAGGAGTAAAGTGGTTTAGCACGCTGGATCTAAAAAGTGGCTACTGGCAAGTTGAAATTGACCCTAAGGACAAGGAGAAAACTGCGTTCTCGACGGGAACGGGTCTGTGGCAATTTAAAGTAATGCAGTTTGGGTTGTGCAATGCTCCAGCAACGTTTGAAAGGCTGATGGAACGTGTACTTACCGGGCTAATTGGCGATGCCTGTCTAGTCTACTTGGATGACATAATCATCGTAGGCCGTACGTTTGAGGAACACCTTCAAAACCTGGAACGCGTGCTCATGAAGATTTAGAGTGCCAACCTCAAGTTGAGTCCGAAGAAATGTTCACTATTCAAACGACAAGTCTACTTTTTGGGGTATGTAGTGTCCGAAGAAGGTATCGGCACGGATCCAGAGAAAATCGCAGCTGTCAAGGATTGGCCGGTTCCAAAAGACAAGACGCAGGTTAGAGCATTTTTGTGTTTGTGCTCCTATTACCGGCGATTTGTGAAGAACTTTGCAGATATAGCCAAACCTCTGCATAAGCTAACCGAGGAGAAGCGACATTTCTGCTGGAATGAAAGTCGCAATATCGCATTCCAGGAGCTCAAGGACCGTCTGTGCAAAACACCTATTTTGGGATACCCTGATGCAAGCAAAGAATTTATAGTTGACACAGACGCAAGTGATATAGGACTTGGCGGTGTGTTGTCTTAACGGAATGGTGACCAAGAGGTCGTGATAGCGTACTTCAGCAAGTCATTGTCAAAACCTGGGCCCAGTGGGACAGCTTGCTGCTTCAGGATGGAGTTCTGTGCCGTAAATGGGAAAATGTTCGGGGAGACAGCTGTCATTTGCAAATGGTTGTCCCTAAAGCTAAAGTACCGGATGTTCTACAGCTGTACCATAATGATTGTTCAGCAGGCCATCTGGGAGTTAAACGAACTCTACTGAAGATCCGAGAAACGGTTTTACTGGGTCCAATGTCGAAACGACGTCGAGGACTGGTGTCGCAAATGTACAAGTTGTGCGGCTGTAAAGGGACCTCAGACTCGTAGTAGAGGTGCGTTGAAGTTGTACAATGTTGGTGCACCATGGGAGAGAATAGCCATTGACGTGGCGGGGCCGTTTCCGGAGTGTGAAAGCGGTAACAAGTATTTCATGGTTGTGATGGATTACTTCACTAAGTGGCCAGAAGTCTTCGCCATTCCAAATCAAGAAGCTTCAACAGTTGCAGATAAACTAGTTCATGAAGATAACGCGATCAAGGTAGAAATTTTGAGCCTCAAATATTCCAGGAAACTTGCCGAGTTATGGGTACTCATAAAACAAGAACGACTTCTTATCACCCGCAATCTGATGGAATGGTAGAACGATTTAATCAGACATTGGAGAGGTACCTAGCAAATATTGTAGACGATCAGCAACGAGATTGGGACAAGCACATACAACCGTTTTTGTTGTTTTTCTTAAAAACTTCAGAATCGATTATAGCGAACACTTAATAAGTTATTACACAGTAAACACCTAATGAAATTGATTTAGGACAATATTATCATTTATTCCCGAGATATGCGCGATGTATTAATTTCACTAACGTACGGACGGAGAAACATGGAGATAATATGTTCAAATTTGAACTTTCAAATATCAATTATCAGGGAAGTTAATAATTCAAGGTTCAACTCAATTTAAAATTTTACTTCTACAATATATTTTATATAATTTCAAGAGCGCAAGCGTATTTTCGATATTCCCGCGGCTGCCGCGAAAAGACGTAAATTATTCTGACTCGCATCTTAGCCGCACATGGTGTAAACATTAAGGACCAAAATATAAAACTATTTAGTGAGATATTAAAGGTATTGTATAGATTTGGATAAGAAAGCTTAGGTTATATAAAATTCATAGTTTATTAAATTTTATTTATTTTACCCTCTATATTGAAACCAATTAGAATTAAAACTTAAAAGTTTAATTAAAATTTAATTACAACTTTGAATTATATTACAACGTCTTTAATATTCACATAAAATATATTGAAATAATATCATATAATTAAATAATACTAACAATATATTTTGTAAATACTCATAGTTACCGAAAATTGTTTGTGTGCGAGTTATAGTTTATGATTATAATGCTCTCCCAGCTGAATTCTATAGCAGCGACAACTTGTGAATAGTTTTGCAACAGTGTCGCGTGATTAAATGGGCCCTTCATTCATTGTAA